ACCCCACCTGCCTCGGCCGACCCCGCCCCCCGAGCTCTCTCTGGGCCTGTAGCCCCCGCAGCAGCATCCTTCTCTGCGCTGTGAGGTGCAGGGTACGGATTTCACGGGATCTCTCCTGCCCTCCCTTACCTTCCGAGCTTCAGCCCCGGTGACCGCGACTATCCTCCGGATGCCTTTAGCGATCGCTTCTTCTGAAACGATCACAAAGGGGCCGGCGTGGCTGGAGTTCTGCAAGTGCCTTTGGAAAGAACCCAGAAAGAGAACCCGGAAAGTTAGAAGCCCGAGGGAGAGTTAGAAGCCCCCGTCAGAAGCAGGAAACAAGAAAACCTCCCTGCCAGGGAGAGGCAGCAAGCATGGGGATGGACATAAAAACCCATCCAGTAAGGGTGGGGACAGGCAGAAAACTCAGCGTCGCTGCTGAAAGCAGAAGAGCAAGGAAAAGGTGGAAAAGGCTACGTCCCCAGCGCTGTCAGAGACTAAGCAGGGACAGCACACAGGCAGCTTCCCTGCTTGCAAAACCTGATTTTAAGCACAGCGTGAGTCAGGACGGGGAATGCGCAGGCACATCACCACCAACGCCTCCAGCTGTGCCCAGCACACGGCCACAGCACTCACAAAGCAGCTCAGGAGGCGTTTTTGGCCCCCAGGCCGATTTCTCCCGGCCCCTCTGGATACTCACGTCCCTCCGCAGAACTCGACAGAAGTGAGGGAGCCCGCGGGCCCCGAGGGGTCGGCCAGCAGCTCCTCCACGGGGATGCCGATGGAGACCACGCGCACGGGGTCGGGGTAGGTCTCGTCGAAAACGGCCCGCAGCCCTTGGATGGCTTTGGCTGCTGCGAGAGGGCAGTCCTTGGCGTACACAGCCTGCAGAGGACAGGAAAGGGCTGAGGGTAAGAGCCGGCCCTGCATTCCCAGGGAACCCTGACTTCCTAAAAGTGAAGGATTTCACCCCGCACCAGGGCTGGCTGAGCTGCAGGGATGGCAAAGTCTTCGACAGATGCCCCATCTTCAAAATTCCTGACACCTGCTCAGACTCCCCGTACACGTTTGAATGGTTTCGAACCACAGACTCCTGAACACGGCGTCCTCCAGGGTCTGTCCTGGCACGAGACAGAGCAACCCTGAGGACAAACCACCTACCTTTGCCTCCTCAATCATCTCGTTGGCGATCCCTTCGACTTTCTTGATTTCCTGGGTTGACAAGGCTCCCTTGGCCGTGAAGTCGAACCGCAGCCTGTCCGGTGCAACCAGCGACCCTCTCTGGTCAGCTTCCCCCAGAACGGAGCGCAGGGCGAAGTTGAGGATGTGGGTGGCCGTGTGGTTGCTCATGACCGGCCTCCGCCTGGCCTGGTGGAGAAAAAGCCACTCTTAGATGGGGTGCTGGCAGTGCGGAGCCTACACCCAGGCCCCTAGAGGGGTGTCGATGAACAGAAAGGAGACAAAAATCCAGGGCAGAAGAGATGAGGCCGTGCATAACATCATGTCTTAACTCACCTCATCAATAGACAGGTGGACCTGATCCCCGACTTTCAAGTTTCCATACAGAGTTCCTATGTGAAGCACGTAGCCGCCCCGGACCTGCACATTCTTCACTGTGAATTCTGTTTTCTGGACAAAAAGGGAGATGTTAGGAGGGAGAAAAGGCCGAGGGGAGCCAGAGGTCTGAGCTGCAAGTGGAAAGGTCTCAGCTGAGAGCCAGGCTGGTGTGTGTGGTAGGAAAGAGCCGAGCCTCCCCCAGCACAGGTCACAGGGCCACAAAAGTGGGGAAATAAATGAAGGCTGGGCATGGTGAAGGGAGCACAGCGGAGCTCCAAGAGCTCCCCATCGCCGTCCTTCTGCACGGCAATCCCAGCACCAGGAAACTGCTGGAGCTTGCTCGGCCCCTTCTCCTCCTCCACCCAGGCTCTCGGGCCCACTCACATCCTCCCGGCCGTCGTCGTCCTTGACCATGTAGCCCTCGTCATAGATCTGCCCGCCCTGCTCGGCGTAGAAGCACGTCCGGTCCAGCACTATCCCACACTCCTGGCCAGTGGATACCTCCTCCACAAACTTCTTCTCTCTGCGGATGGCTTTCACCGTGGCCACGAGGCTCCCAAAATCTGCCACCGGGACGACAAGGAGCATCAGTAAAAGAGTAAAAAACTTGCGGACACCATGTGGGAGCAGAACTTTGTTACCTATTGCAGGAGCTTGTGGCAGGGGGTAAGAAGAAAGAACCAGGGCAAGAGTTAGGTGGGTAAGAGGGATTTTCATTTAAGTGTCTCCTCCTTCCACACCCACACAGTAAAAGGCAGCAGCATCCACGCTACGAGCCTGGAGTCTCCTGAATCTCCACCAAAGCAAAGAACTAGCAAAAGAGCCAGAGCAAACGAGCCAAGGACCCTCTGACAGAAGCTGTACTCTCCTGCAGCGCTGGCAAAGGAGCAGCTGAGAAAGGCAAAGAGGGGTGTGGAGACACTCAGCTGCAGGGGACAGGATTTCCCTGAAGTTGGCAATAATGGGCCTGAACAGCACAGCAGCCCTTGAACAGTCCACCCTTCCCTTTCCCTGCTCCATTTGTAACAAGCGAGTTATTCACCCGCACGTCCTTTTCCACTCCCACCTCTGTGTCCCAGGAAAAAAGAGCACGGAGGGGGGATCTTGTCGAGGTGCCAGCAAAGGTTTGGCAGCAGAGGATGATTCCCAGAACGTTTTGACGCACCGTAGGTCCCGCTGGGATCTGAAGCGTAGCTGTATTTTGGCGAGTCGTCGGTCACCTCCAGCCCTCGGGCCCTCAGCTCTTCGATGGCGTAGATGTCCAGCATGATGAGGTCCTCCCCTCCAGCGCCCTTGCCCTGGGATTTCAGCTGCCAACAAGAAGCAACAAGTTCCAGGAAAAGCCGCCTTGGCGCTGGCCCACGCACATCTCGCTGACATCCCTGAGAGCTCCTGGGTTTAGAGCAGCCTCAGCTGCACAAAAAGACGCGGACCCCAACAACCGCGGTGCCGTGCCTTGGTCCTTCTCACAGGATACGTAGGGTGTGAGCAGACCCAGGGAGCAAGGAGCAGACTCAGGACTGCAAACTACGAGGGAATCCTGCCTGCCACTCTCAGACCAGCTCTTTCTATTGGGTTTGCCTGGCCACATCTCGGTGGTGGAGGGGCTGCAGGGGTGGCTTCTGCAAGAAGCTGCTGGAAGTTTCCCCTGAGTCTGACAGAGGCGATGCCAGCCGGCTCCAAAGATGGACCCGCCCCTGGCCAGGGCTGAGCCTGTCGGTGACGACAGGACAGGAACACCTCTGTGAAAACATATTT